CCATAATTTACGAACAGTTCAATTACGACAGACTGGTGCACAAAAAATTAGCTCCAAACTTACAACTGTTAGTAGTTTTCATCACAATAAAAATCCACAGGTTGCAAGCATAATTTACGGATTCCTTATGTGCCTCACTCATCTTTAGATTCAAGAATGCAAAATTTGAAAGATTACCTGCAGGGAGTTGATGTCAATATCCGCAAGTGTACGACCTAGAGGCAGTCCAACGTTTTTAAACCCATCCTAAGAGCACAAGGGATCAAAGGTTTCTTAGGAAAAAAATATACACTAAGACAAGAAGCTCTATTAGATCATAAATTAGCAGAAAAACGCACCTCAGAATCAATGTCTAAAGCCCTAGATTTATCCATCATATCATCATCATGCATGTCCTCGCTAATTTCTGTTTGAGTTGGGCCAAACCCTAACTGAAGTTGACCATCAACATCCCCAAGTGCATGAGGCAGCTCTTTGGGACCATCCCCAGCACTATTTCTTTGTGGATCCAAGTTGATTGTTGAGGGCATACATTCATTAGCTGGAGGAGGCTCTTCATTAAATTTTTGGAGACCCGGTGCGAATGCAATGTGATCTTGGTCAATTAGCGAAATATCTTTCCTAACAAATTCATCACCTGCCAATTTTTTAAAAAATGACCAGTGTTTTGGTTCCTCATTTTGCATGTTTAAACTCATACCAGCTCCATCCTGCTGAACTGGAGAAATATCAGATGAACTATTAGAAAGTATAGCTTTTGCAAATATATCAGATAGGATATCACTAGGGAACCGGTCATTAATATCAATCAAGATATCTCCTTGCTCAGATCTGGGTAACACAACCGATGGTTCCCCTTGAAAAGCACACTCTTTGTATTTTCCCGTCCAATCTGAAGGTTGAGATTGCTCTTGAGAGTTAGTATATGTGAACTCGCTGCCAGCCTTATTACCCTGATGAATTTCAAGATGAATGCCCCCCACATCTTCGTGGTGATTTTCAGCATCTGCATAGGTCAGTGGACTTGGCCTTGATCCACCATCCTCCATCCGCTTAACTAAATAGTTTGTATACTTATTGTCGGCACATATTGTTTGTTGATTAGCTAGGGGAACCTGATCCACAAGCACGACGTTTTTCATATTTGCAGCATTTGGAATAACCTGCTTCAAATTCGCAGGCGCTCCAAGATCATGTGCTGCAGTTTGAGGACAATAGCTCAATGGCTTTTCGGTAGAAACAGGCTGCTCATTCATGTTTCTATTTTGCATTTTCTCAATGGATTCTTTAAAAATTTCTGGCTGTGCAATATCTGTATGGGAATGAGTTGCAAGAAACTGTGAATTGTGTGAATCGTCCGACTTTGATAACCTGTTAAAGAACTCTATCTTCCCTCTTGGGATTTGCATAGAACAGAAAGCGCTCTGAGGTGGTGGAGCAGGATCAGAGAAGCTTATATCCGTTGAATCAACGACTAAAGTGACAGACTCGGGAACAAAAGCCTTACTGTACATATTGGGTCCATATTGTTTCACTTGTGTTTGGGATCCTTGACCTTCAATATCATTTTGGTGGTCCACTACACTGGAGGACCAATGAGTAGCACTTTGAGTAGTTGATAATTGAGAATTAGAACTATAACCAAATTGGAATTGCTGCTGCTTACTGTCATCACAATTTTCCATCTGACCATGATGAAAGCGTAAATCAATGTCATAAGCACTGGGGGGACTTGGTACATTAGGCTGAGCAGATTTAGCAATCAACGATGAGCCATCAAAACCAGCTGAAGGTAAGTTACTTGCACCAACAAAGCCCGTAAAAGATCTACCTGAGTCGTCCTCCATGTTATTTCCATCCAACTCAGCTAAGTTATTTGCAGAAGAACCTAGAAAATGCAAAGTTGAGCTACTTCTTGATCCAGTTTCCAAGCCATTGATGGCTACTACATACTGAAACTCGGAATCCGCATCTGAATTTGTTAATCTCAAATGAGCATCATCCAAGTCAGCGATGGAAAACAAGAAAATCCTAAGCTTTTTTGAAGTATCTCCATCTTCTAGGACATCACATTCCTCCAACATATTCTGCAAATCCTCGTCACAGGACACAGTAACTAAAGCATCAAGATCCTCCCCAGGTAGTTGATATTTAATTATATGAGTTAGATCATATATTACAACAGCTTTCTGCCACATTTCATTCCATGTAATGTCCTTCCTGATGCGGATAACCCGTGTTTCACCACCAACATACCTGAGCTTCCCATCGCTAGGCCGAGGTAATACCTTACCGCCAAAGCTACACATCGCCTTAAGCTTTGCCACTGAATCATCACATGCTCCAGATGAGGTATACATAAGAGTACGGAAACCACAGTAATCTGATGACGTTTGTTGCACTGATTGCACTGACCCATTGTAATTTTTGTCTTCATGTAGGGAAGATTTCTGTTTCTCAAACTCTTTTGGACCTTTTTCAACCATCGCTAGCATGGAGGTGTCGGAACCACCTTCAGATTCAGTATGACCGATGCCTAAGATGCCTTTTAGCTCCAAGTAACCTTGTGGAAAACTAGGATCACTAGAAGTACTGGGAACACAATGTTTCCCGGGATTAACACGATCACGCATGAACTCAAGTACAAACTCTTCTCCTGTTTGTAAAGAGAAATTAAGCACAGGCTTAGCCTCTGAACAATTATCTTTTGGAGCCTTTATATTATGATGTGGATGATCAGGAGGGTCCGATAGAAAAACCGGAGGTTCAGGTTGAAATTCTGCATTTGGATATTTAGCAGAAGTGAACTGAATACAATTCCCATTGTTTGATTGATCCATTAGACCACAACCCCTATAAATTCAACCTCAATGGTAACCGATATGGATGCCAGTATACTAAGTTATGTCTATAACGGAGCACCACGAACCTAAATGCAGTAGAATAAACACTTTGCTTAGAACAAGTCTATCCAGAGTTCACCAATACATATGCACTGGAAGCAATTGACAATCGGAGGTATATTACTAGCTACTGACTTGAATTATCTCTAACAAAATTAGGGTCTCAATTAATTCATGAAAAGCAATTTCTCTTTCAAGCCACAAATGCTCCATCCAAGTACACTTCTTAAACCATTAATGCTGACAAAAAGGAAAAGAAAATAGATGTGGAGTTAATAACAGTGCAAGAACTGTAAAAGACATCAAACAAATTATTAACAAACTACAAACTTCCGAAAGTCCAAGAAGAAGTGGACTTTTCTTTCATAGGCTCCTTTGGTCATATTTAACAATAATTCATACAGATACTCCCTCTCTTGCTTGAGCTTCAAATCCATCAGTCAGTTTTTCTAATATACTTGCTGAAATAATCCAAGGCATAGTACATGCCCTCTAATTCAAATTCACATTGCAGTGAAACAATAACTTAGAAGCTGTGAAGAAGACAAAAGTCCTTAAAGAAGTTTCTTGCTCAAAATACCAGATTATCTATCCTCTGTCTTTGTTTTAACTTTGGTACGAAATACATTGCATAAAGTGATCTATGCCCCTCAAAATTGGAGGTGACCAAGCCTATGTCTTGAAGTTTTGTCATTATATTGTTAGTATTTACGATTTATTCATTTCTACCTATTCTCTAAGCCCAGCTTTGAAGGGGAGCCTTGGCGTAACTGGTAAAGCTGCCATGTGACCAGGAGGTCACGGGTTCAAGCTGTGGAAACAACCTCTTGTAGAAATGCAGGGTAAGGCTGCGTACAATAGACCCTTATGGCCGGCCCTTCCCCGGACCCGCGCATAGCGGGAGCTTAGTGCACCGGGCTGCCCTTTTTCTCTAAGCCGACCTTTCCTATTACTTTTCTATCACAATTTAGTACAGCAACGAAGAGTTTGTTTGTTCTATCAGTTGTTAGCTTCAGTGGCAAGCAGAGATCTACAATTCCAACTCAAACTAAAAATGCGAAAAGGTTTGAGGAGAAGAGAAAACTCACATTATTCAAGAACATTGAAAGGGGAAAGCAAAAAAGAAAACTGAGTTGCTGAGAAGCCAGGACAAAGCCAGGACAAGCTTGCAGCGCATAAAACCGCCATTTTGACATTTGAATTTGTATACTTACGGCCTACTGACTACATTAGCATTTTCATTTCTTTCCCCTTTCGCTCCCTCTCTATCCATTACTATATTCTTTGCATTTCTTCGGATTTTCACACACAAAAAAAGAATACTAGAATGACGGCTTTGTCTCAAGCCTCTCTCTCCTTCACCTTTCTCTCTTCTTTCTTTTTGTCCTTCTCACCTGGATCCCAAATTTATTTTGAAAAATCTGATTTAGGTGAAGTTTGGTTTGGAGATGAAAATGTGTTTGCACATACGCTTTCAAAATATATTTTCCAATTTTATTTTGGAAAAACATGTATATAATTCCCAAGTTTTAGAATTTTGGCCCAAAATCAGGGGATTTGAAATTTGGGATTTAGAATTTGGCCAAAATATGAGCAAAATTTATGGCCAAACATAAGTTTTGAAAATAAATCCCAAATTTATTTTGGGAAAACTTATGGCCAAACGGGGCCTAAGTTTGTTTTTCTCTTTTGTTGCTCTACTTCTCTATCGGTTTAGGACTAGGATATGAATTTGAAGTTTAAGTTAAAAGCAAAAAAAGGAGTATTCTTTTCTTCTTTGTAGTTTATTTCTTTTCATTTATACTTCTTAGTCATTTAGTACAATTTTTTTTAAAAAATAGACGAAAAGAACATATCATAATTTGAAATGTCAATACAAATGCATTCAGCTTAAAAAGTGAAAGACTGTCAAATATTTTCCAACTAACTCAACTTCCATAAATTCCTTTCCAACCTTTAATTCCCTACATAATTACTTTTATTTAGTGTACGGATATACCAAAGTTCTTACTTTTATGTTTTGTAGTTTAAGTTGTTTCATTCACAACTTAATTTTCCTATCACACAAAACTTGCTTTCTTACCAATTTCTCCAATGTATATCACTTTTGTAATACCTCCTAATTCATTTATTGGGTGGTGGTATGTCTATATATACAGTAAATAAATATATATTAATCATGTTACTATGTTTGCTTTAGGTCATATACTTGCTAGGAATCTTTTAGTCCTATTATGTCATAGAAAATATAGAGAATAGAGAACTTATTGTACTTATAATTTTGTATTTTTTTAATTGTATAATAATAATCTTGGCAGGATGGGAATTTAAATGGGATTCATATAGCTAAACCCAACATGGTATTGTGTGCAGCTGACTTAAGTTTGAAGATAGTGTCTATCTTGTGTTGGGTGCAAAGGCATGAGATATAGCGGAAGAGGGGGGAATCATCAATTATATGGAGTAGTACTCATCAATCATTAATTAGCTCCATTCCCAATCTCCACTAGATTCATTTTTATATTCTTAGATCCACCTTTTGCTGGGCGGCAGACCCTTCCCCTTCCCCCGGAGAAATTCAAAAATAGTCAGATTTACAAGTGGTCGTTCAAAAGTAGCGCAGTTTCAAAAGTAATTGAAATTTAGTCATTTTTCATGTAAAGATAAATCTGAACGAAAATACTGTAAAAATACTCCAGCATAATATACTGGAGTTCCAGTATACTGGAACTCCAATCTAATATACTGAAGATCCAGTATAATATACCGGTCGAGCATAATATACTGGAGTTGGAGCACCGGTGCTCTAGTCTCCAGTATATTATAATGGAACCAGCAAAGTATACCGGTCCAGCATAATATGCTGGAAGTTCATACACAGGTGCATCGAACTCCAGTATATTATGCTGGACCGGTCTCTGTTGTAGCAAAATGGTGGCTATTTTTCATTGACTTGGTAAACGTTGGCTATTTTTGAATGACCAGACCGAACTGGCCGGACCGTGCAATTTTTACCCTTCCCCTTCCCTCTTTCTTTAACAGCTTGTTTGGATGTTGTTACACGTCTCATAATGTATCGTATTGTATTATATTGTACTGTATCGTTTGATAAATATAGTGTTTGGATAGATTGTATCGTTTGTTATTGTTTCATGTGTTTGCAACAAATTATATGTGATACAAAAATAAATTGCAACCACAATATAAATGTGAAGAAACGTAATTTTATTGATAAAATGATGCGGGTACAATTCTGTTTGTTCCCTTGATTCTTCCTCCGAATTGTTATCTGTAATTCGAGGGCCTTAGCGGCATATTTCTCGAACGTTGGATAATATGCATCTCCTTGATGTATTTGATTATCAAGAAGCATGTAGCAGCACTCCATTTGGATCTTGAATGTTGCTAGAACTTTGAACAAGACATATTTGACATTCTTTGATCTCTTAATGAATATCCCAAGAGTTTTATGAAATTTCGGAGACGTCATATTTGATCTCTTTGTGCATATTCCGAGAGTTTATAGAATTGCTAAGATGATATTTTTGAGATATTTTTTAAAGGATTATGTAATCCTTTTTTTGGTAAAGTAGCCTCTAAGCAACACTGACAGACTCCTAGAATTTCAAGAGGTCTTGTAGTATCTTGAATTTAGGATTTAACTCGATCCATTAAGATTTTGATGTCTACAAATGCCCCCTACTTCAAGGTTTGTCGGGGTGTAGCCTTGGCGAAACTTGAAGACGAGACTTGAAATACCCGATCATCAACAATAGTAAAATTTTGTAAGCTTGGTAAGTTTCGATTTGACGAGGAGGAACGGTACGATGGAAGGGCAGAAACTTGGTTCCACTGGGACGTGCCAATTTGTTTACAACAAAATTAATTGTGATACAAAATAAATTAGACACACAAACTATTAAATATGTAAAGAACGTAATTTTATTGGTATAAAATGATGCGGGTACAATTCTGTTTGTTCCCTTGATTCTTCCTCCGAATTGTCTCCGTTATTCGAGGGCTTAAGCCGCGTATTTCTCAAATGTAGGATGATGCAGACCTCCTGGGGATGTATTTGATCTCCAACTTCTTGAACTATTTGATTGTCAAGAAGTATCCGGCCATATTTCGATCTCTTTTTGAATATCCCAAGAGTTTATGGGATTTTGAGACATCTCCTCAAGGGAATATGTATCCCTTTATATAGGTGTGAGTTAGGGTTTAGGGTAGAGTAACCTCCAAGAAATCCTAATAGACTCCTAGGATTTCAAGAGTCCTGTAGTATCTTTAATTTAGGATTTGGCTTGATCCCTTAAAATTTCGATGTCTACAAATGCCCCCTACTTCAAGGTTTGTCGGGGTTGTAGGCTTTGCCGAAAACTTTGAAACGTGGCTTGAAAGTCTCGACCATCGCAAAACTTGAGTTTTCGATTTACAGGAGGAAGAGATGAAGGGCATAACCGGTTCCACTGGGCGTGCCAATTTGTTTGCAACAAATTATATGTGATACAAAAATAAATTGCAACCACAATATAAATATGAAGAAACGTAATTTTATTGATAAAATGATGTGGGTACAATTCTGTTTGTTCCCTTGATTCTTCCTCCGAATTGTTATCCGTAATTCGAGGGCCTTAGCGGCATATTTCTCGAACATTGGATAATATGCATCTCCTTGATGTATTTGATTATCAAGAAGCATGTAGCAGCACTCCATTTGGATCTTGAATGTTGCTAGAACTTTGAATAAGACATATTTGACATGTCTTTGATCTCTTAATGAATATCCCAAGAGTTTTATGAAATTTCGGAGACGTCATATTTGATCTCTCTGTGCATATTCCGAGAGTTTATGGAATTGCTAAGATGATCTCCATATTTTTGAGATATTTTTTAAAGGATTATGTAATCCTTTTTTTGGTAGAGTAGCCTCTAAGCAACACTGACAGACTCCTAGAATTTCAAGAGGTCTTGTAGTATCTTGAATTTAGGATTTAACTCGATCCATTAAGATTTTGATGTCTACATCATGATATCACTCACCAGCAATACGAAGAATAAACTTGCAATATTATAAAGAAAAATTATAATACGTTTTAAGTTTATTATATAAAAAGGTAGAGTAAATAATAAAATAAAATTATTTAATAATAATGAAGGGTGAGAGGAGAGAAAAAGACAAGATAACGACGCAACCACACCAAATCGGTCATTACATAAAGTGACACATTTCGTCGTTATGTAACGACAAATTTAACAATACGATACAATAAAATTTAAGTGACAACCAAAACAAATATCGTATTTAAAGTAACAATACCATACAATACAATAGGTAACAACCATCCAAACAAGTTGTAAATGCTATTGGGAGTAATTCACGCTTCTTCAATATAGACATGTACTATATATGGTGAAAACGTTACATTTTCGCAGCATATTGGTAAAACTTGCGTAAATGAAATTATATTTTACAGTGGTGTAATATGACCCAAATACATACAAGGAAAATTTACATAACAATATAACAACAATGAAGGATGTACATTGTACTGGTGCTGCTGCAAATGCTTGATTTCCTTTCTCTATTGTTAAGCAACCCCTTCAACAATTTGGTGAAACAGTAGTTGACTTCACATAATATTGCAACTACCTGCTTCCCTGAAAGTAAAAAAGCTTCTTCATCAGAATTCAGGGACATTTGGTCACTCAATCTCGAATCACAAATATAACTAAAATTGCCTACTTTTTTAACTCTTCATAACGGCTTAGTGCTTCCTCAAATTTGAGCCACATAGGACCCGTCTCCTGCAAGTTCACGTTCTGTGGCCCGCCAAGATAAGCCTGGACAACAAACTGGAGACTCCTTTCTCTAGCAATAGTACAATCAATCATATAATCTTTCACGTCCCATGGACCGTAATCAGTACCAACAAAAGAAGACTTACCTTCCCTCGTACTCTGATAACCAAGCCAAATAGCCCGCGCCAAAGTACATGGAAACAAATGGCTTTGTAAGATCCTCAACTGACTCCACTCGGTAAGCCTTGTACCCCAAGTCCCTAGATTTCACGTTAATCAGCAATTTTGGTACGCGCATACTACTTACTTAGCATTACATCATTGACCTTTTGTACCGTTGCTTTTCTTACTTCAACTGTCAAATTAATTAAGCATTTCTATAGACAACTTTTGCTAAGTGTACTACTTCTATTAGAGAAACTTTATCAAAGTGAGCATAGGTTACCAATTTGCTAAAGAATAAAGGAATGGCTAGACCAGATCAAACCAGACCAAAATGATACAAGAAGGTTTATGTCACATACTTGTAAAGCCAGCGTGCTGTAGGATAGTCAATTCCCATTAATCCAGTACGTTGTCCA